TAGAGCGAAGATGGAGAACATAACAGCGCCAATGGCCTGGCTTGCAGAAAGGGTTAGAGTTTGCATTGCTGATAAGTCAGCTCGAGCAGAATCAGCCTTTAGCCTCAAACCTAAAAAGGTAAACAAGCTTAATGAAACAGTTGTGCCAGAAACAGATGTTCAGGACAGTCCCGATGCCTTTGATCACTTCACTGACCAGTTGACTTGTGCTTCAAATAATCCGGATCGTTTGACCTGTCCCTCAAACGTCACCCAACACTTACACGGAAAAAATTCGGAAATTGACTTGTTGACAAAAAATTTGGTTGAAACCAGGTGAGAAATATTCCGAAATTTGTATTATTTAAGCCAATAATAATGTTTTTCAAATGAAGTCTTCGTAACTTGATGTTTTAGAATCTAAGCCAATTAGAATTAAGTTAACAAATAAGTATTTCGTAATTTCATATATTATTCAATCTAAGCCAATTAGAATTAAGTTAACAAATAAATATTTCGTAATTTCACATATTATTCAATTAAGTTAATTAGAATTAAGTTGACAAATAAATATTTCGTAATTTCATATATTATTCAATCTAAGCCAATTAGAATTAAGTTAACAACTACATATTTCGTAATTTCATATATTATTCAATCTAAGCCAATTAGAATTAAGTTAACAACTAAATATTTCGTAATTTGATATATTAAGAAATTTAATTCAATGAAAATTTAACTAACATGCAAACGAGAAGATAAGACAAATGTGTCTAGAAAGTTTCTGAAAAGTGAAATGTTTGATTTATAGATATTTCAAGTTTTTCTTTTGTCGAAAGCAAACTGGAATGTTTCAAAAATAGATTATCATTTAAAGATGAAAAATAATTGATCTCTCATCCAGAATTAAATGATTTATTATTTAATACTCCACCATCTTTCGAGAACCATTCTTATACTGAAAAACTAAATAATAAACAAACGTAAAGGTTGAGTTTGTAAACCAGCCTCAGAAATGATCTTTGGTCATGTTATTAAAGCTTTTGAAATATTCAGTTTTGTTTTTGAATTTCGCTCAAAGCTACACGAGGGCTATCTGCGCTAACCGACCCTAATTTAGCAGTGTAAGACTAGCGGGAAGACAGCTAGTCATCACCACCCACCGCCAACTCTTGGGCTACTCTTTTACCAACGAATAGTGGGATTGACCGTCACTTTATAACGCCTCCACGGCTGAAAGGGCGAGCATGTTTGGTGTGACGGGGATTCGAACCCGCGACCCGCCGATTGCGAGTCGAGTGCCTTAACCACCTGACCATGCCGGGCCTGGAATATTTACTTTTTGTGTTTCATATAAATTTCATGGCCCCCATATGAACATATGTTCTCAGCCATTGTTGCAACCGGTTTTATAAGTGATCGCATTCGTCAGTTTCTGATCATTACTAAATGATCATGTGTACTTGCTTAGAAATTGTTGCAACCTCCTTGTAGAAGTGATTGCCAGCGTCTGATCAGTGATAGCTGATCGCATATCGCTACTTCAGGCGCTGACTACTGCTAATAGTTTATATTGTGTTATAACTGACAATGAGTGGTAAGAGCAAAGACGGAAAATTTATGGGACAAAATGCTCTTGTGCTAGATTACAGACCTACAAGGCTTTCTGTTACATATTAATAACTGAGGGTCATTAGTATAGGACAGTCTTGGCCAAAATGTTTGCATGCTGTTCTATATTGATGTTATTGTCTACATGCATGGAAAAGTTATTACGTAGTAACAGAGAAGGTAGCGTATGATTGTAGAAACATGTGCGAGTTGTTATTCAGGTCTGTATGAGTTGTTTTGGACAACTGTTTGTCAAAACACACATACACACCTGTTTTGTATAAAATGGTGGATTTTTGACATAATCTTTTTCGACACAAATCAACGCTTGTTCTCAGACAGTTTCTCCGTACTTGGTGTAGAGTCATGCCTTGTCACGTGCCAGAAGTTATAGGACGTCAAATTGTACGATTGTCCAGAAACGATACGAAGCAAACGGACATGGCCAGAACAGTATGGTACACCCATGTACTGTGTCCAGAATCCTGAAAAATAATCATACCACAGGAAACATTGTCTCAGGAAAGTCTACTGGTAGATGCCAAACAAATACTGCCAGATATTACCGTGTTTAGATCAGATTAACACATCAAGATCGAAAGAAGTCTTGCAACACTTTTCGACAGGAATGGTAGGGTATCCAGAAGAATGGTGAATAGAAGACTGACCAAACAAGGTTATTTTGCAAGAAGAGCTATCTGAAAACCGATATTAACAATAATTTACCACTGTCACCGTGTTAGTTAGGCAAGACAGCATGGCAACTTACAGATAGGACACTGGCAACATGTCATCTTTTCAGATGAGTCCTGTTTCTGACTTATTAAAGCTGATGATAGGATTTATGTTTGTTATTTTCCTGGCCAACCATTTTTCTTCATAATCCAGACGCTTGATGAGTTCTGGTGCAGAAGTAACCAATCACTCTTCTTCATAATTCAGATGCTTGATGAATCTTGATATGGAAGTGGCCAACCATTTTTCTTCATAATCCAGATGCTTGATGAATCTTGATATGGAAGTGGCCAACCATTTTTCTTCATAATCCAGATGCTTGATGAGCTCTGGTGCAGAAGTAACCAACCACTCGCCTTCATAATTCAGATGCTTGATGAATCTTGATATGGAAGTGGCCAACCATTTTTCTTCATAATCCAGATGCTTGATGAGTCTTGATATGGAAGTGGCCAACCATTTTTCTTCATAATCCAGATGCTTGATGAGCTCTGGTGCAGAAGTAACCAATCACTCACCTTCATAATTCAGATGCTTAATGTCTTGAGGCAGAAATAGCCAACCACTTTTCTTCATAATCCAGATGCTTGATGAGTCTTGATATGGAACTGACCAACCACTTTTCTTCGTAATTCAAATGTCTGATGAGACTTGATGCAAAATTTGCCAACTACTTTCCTCCATGATGCAGATGTTTGATGGGTCCTGATGCTGAAATAACCAAACACGTTTTTTCAATAATAATAATAAACAAACGAAAAAATTTGAACACAGTATATAAATGATAAAGAGAGAATTGTACCAACTCCATTGCATTTATGTTATCAAAAACTTCAAGAAGATATATACTTAAAAATAATATTACCTTCCAGGTTGTAAATAAAACAATTATATTCCAAAATCCATAGCCTTGTTTAGACACTTTAAGAAAATTACAAATTGTTAATGCTTTATACAAGTGTTCTTCTGGTTTCGTTCGTCTGAGTATGAGCATCAATTAGAGATCAATGTTTTTGACGAACTTAGAAACCGAGTAGCAAAGAATGCTCATTTCTGTTTTGTTGCAACTCTTCTGTTCAGATATTTTACAGTTGGTTACAATAATAAAATGGTTGTGAATTGTTAATCTATTGAACACTGATGGTTGGATTTTTAGAGCAAGGCCACATTGTGCTGTCTACTTTGTCCATCGCGTTGGAATCGAACCCCGGACTTTAAAATTACAAGTCCGCAGGCTTAACGTTGTCTCATCGAGGGACTATCGAATATTGAACGAAATGTTGAAAACCTTTACTCAACTCCAGCCTGGCCTAATGGTTACCGTGTCGGACTGCGTTTCGTAAGGTTCAAGGTTCGACACTTTATGCCGATGAACACACTTCGTACTTTCAGCTGTGAGCACCTTATAAAAGTGAACAAACAATTCTGTTATTCGGCTCAAAGACCCGGACAAAACACTTTTGGTGGTGGGTGCTACTGGTTGGCTGTTCTCCCTCTGTTCTCAAAATTAGGAACGACATTAAAGGTCTTTAACTTGGTCATTTAACCAAATAGCACATATATAATGTTGTTCAGGTTTAAACTAGCTATTTCTGTTACTAAACTGTCTTTTAGAATTATTTTATTACAAGTTACAGCTTTACAGTAAGGAGGATTTCTGTTTAGAACAGGTACGACGTTTTGATCACTGGTACGCAAGTCCACAAGTTTTAACGGTAAAGAATGTTTTAGTATTCAAATCGACATTCAACAATCTACCAATGTATTTATATTCTAGAATTGTGCACATACTTATACTTGTGCATATCAATCGTGTGAATTGACAGATTATTTATTTATAACTGAACAAAGAAAAAACGAACAGAAAGTGAATAAGAAATATGGAACACGTTATGTAAAAAATTTGCATGATATTGGAAGTGTCTGGAAAAATAACGAACAAAGATGTGCCTGTAAATTGTGGGATTTTATTAATAAGGCTTCTCTGATTTTTCTTCTGTTAATGTCAGGCTCATGTTTCAGTGACTGTTTGTTTTTGGTGTTCTTTTAATCTGATCTTCAAGTTACGTCCTGTTTTACCTGCGTAAAAGGTTGGACAGTTCTGTAAATGTTTTCTGGTGGGGTGGGTTCGTAATATAACTTTCTTAAGATGATTTTGTTTTCATTCCAGGGGTGAAAATGAACCTAGAGGTTATGTTAAGGTTGTATTAATATTTTATATTTCTGATGGAGGTATGCTAATATTATCTATATATATGGGATAGTGCAAGTGATTAGGTTTCCTTTGTTTTGTGTTGGTGTGTTTGTTAAGTGTCTCTTGTTTTTTTTTTCAATTCATTAACAGTTTCCGTAACTACCGTAACATGGAACTGGTTTTATGTTAGTAAAGCATTGAGTTAAGTGTGTAACTTCTTCATAGCAATCTGTGGGTCGCGGGTTCGAATCCCTGTCACACCGAACATGCTCGCTCTTTCAGCCGTGAGGACGTTATAACGTGGCAGTCAATCCCATTATTCATTGGTAAAAGAGTAGCCCAAGAGTTGGCGGTGGGTGATGACGACTGGCTGCCTTCCCTCTAGTCTTACACTGCTAAATTAGGGACGGCCAGCGGAGATAACCCTCGTGTAGCTCTGCGCGAAATTCACAACAAACAAACAAACAACTTCATTCATGTTTTCTGTGGTGCATATAGTGTATACTAAATTTTGGAGGCTTTTGTATGCTGTACGAGAACAACCAGTTATGTGGTAACACTTATCGCTTATAGACAAAACTGAGGCTACGTTTTTTTGTAAGGAGGTTTTTTTAGAGTGCACAGTGTCTAGTGGATTACATGATTATAAAAACCAGTTTATGTAGTTTCCGCTGTATGTGTTTTTTTTTCTATGGACTTTAGTAGTGAAGCCTTGGGAGATTTGTGTGATGTTAACGTTTAAGAAACTTACTGTGTGGTTATTTTTATCTGTGAATTTTATATTTTTGTCTAGGTTGTTTATGTGTTGAAGGACTTGTGATGTTCACCTTGACAAATAAAACCGAAAAAAAAGACGCCATACACACACACATCTAAAAATACACAGAATGCTTTTTTCAATAAAATTCTTTATTTTTCGTACGTCCATTTAGAAAATCATTTTACCGAACTTATGTGTCCACTCGTCCTTATACTTTCATTGATTTTGAGCCCCCCCCCAGTGGCACAATGTTTATCATCTCCTATCCAACTACTGATGTAAAACTAACTGTCCTATAATTGCCTGAACAATGTTTATCACCTCCTATCCAACTACTGATGTAAAACTAACTGTCCTATAATTGCCTGAACAATGTTTATCACCTCCTATCCAGCTACTGATGTAAAACTAACTGTCCTTTAATTGCCTGAACAATGTTTATCACCTCCT